TTATAACATGCATGGCTTTATAGAGATCTGCACTCACCCCAGCCAGTAGGTTACATTGTATTATCTGAGGAACTGCATGAAAGGATCAATGTGCTCCCAGGATGAGTGTGAACTAAACTTGGATCTCAATTTTGCAGTCTCAATCACCGGAGGAATCAACATCTTAAAGCCAACCACCCCCAAATGGTGCTGATGTTTGGAAATGTTTGATTAATGTGCTGATACAAATCCTTTATCCAGACAAAATCTTGGGAAATTTTAAATCTAAATTGTGCAGTTAAGGCCCATCTCTAATATGTATACTTGGGGCCTGATCCTGCAGTGCTCCCCCCTTCCCACAATGATCCCACACTTGAGGCCTGATGTCCCATGTATATGCAAATTCTACACGCTGAGCCTAATTCTGCACTTTGTCCATGCACCAGTCATACACGTGGGACCTGCTTCTATGCCCTATCTAGGTGTTAGTCCTAAACATGGAACTGGATGCTGCATCACACATGACGCCGCCATATGTGCACCAATCACACCCCTGGAAACTGATACAGTACCGTGTACATGGACCAATCACACCCACAGGGCCCAACGCTGCACTCCATGCGCTGCTCCATGCATGCTCCAATCATACCTGTGGAGCATGCACAGTCTTGTGCCCCATCAGCTGCACCCCAAACATGCCAATCAGTACATGATGCACCACCCCATATATGCAACGATCATACACACAGGACACACTGTGCACGCCACACCCCTGATATGCCCCCCATTAGCCACATGGGGCCCCATAGGAAGATGGGGCTCGGTTCTGTCACCACAAGTCACCCAGTCCATGCGGACAGGACCCCAGTCTGCACCCTCCGCACCCCCACTCTCCGCTGTCGTACACGTGAGCCCCGTCCTGCAAGGCGCTGGACACGCCTGGCACCCCCCTGGCATCAGCGCGCGCGCGCCGGGCTCTGGCACGGCAACTTTGCCGCACTTACGGGCAATTTGCCCCCACGCAAGATGGCCGCCCTGGCGTCACCCACCCTCCGCCCGGCGGCAGTGCTCGCCCGTCTTCCGCCTTCAGTCACCTGACGGGCGGGGGAGGAGAGGGCCGGGCGGTTGTTCACGTGACCGGCGGAGCCAGCCCAGTCCCCAGTCTCGTGAGCCAGGGGCGCCGGGGGTGTCCCTGGGGCCGCGTCCGAGGCAGGGGAGACGCCGCCGGGCGCCGGGCTCAGGCAAGGCCGAGGCCTCGGGCCTAGCGGGGGGGTTGACTCCGTCTGCGCGCCGGGACCCGCATCCCGGCCGGGAGAGACCCCGCTGGGCAGGGAGCCGGCCCGGGGCGCAGAGCAGGGACCCCGCCCCGCCCGGGGC